TGCACAAATCTCATTATTTGAGGGCATAACAATATTCTTATATTTATTTTTGAAAGAAGCGCATGAAGCAGAACTTTGATCACACATTGTTTGTTTGAAAATGATCATAGAAATTAGAGGTAAGGCAACCAAAACTAGAAAAATTCACATGCATTATATAATATATTTTCATTGTTTTGAAGTGGAAAATGTTTGTGCCTTGGTGTTAAAGACAGATGTAGGAGGTTGGACATTCAAAGAATACTCTCAATATGTGGAAGTGTTTGTAGATGTAGATGTAGGGCCTAAAACATGGCCAAACTTGACTTGTTAATTTCAACAGATCTCACTGGGAAAGTGGCTCACAGTTCACACTGGACATTTGACATCACCGTTCACACTGGACATTTGACATCACCGTTCGCACTGGACATTTGACATCACCGTTCACACTGGACATTTGACATCACCGTTCACACTGGACATTTGACATCACCGTTCACACTGGACATTTGACATCACCGTTCGCACTGGACATTTGACATCACCGTTCACACTGGACATTTGACATCACCGTTCACACTGGACATTTGACATCACCGTTCACACTGGACATTTGACATCACCGTTCACACTGGACATTTGACATCACCGTTCACACTGGACATTTGACATCACCGTCCACACTGGACATTTGACATCACAGTTCACACTGGACATTTGACATCACCGTTCACACTGGACATTTGACATCACCGTTCCCAGATCACCAAATACGTTGTACCAACTATACCACTGCTCTGCCACGCATGCGTTGTAAAAAACTTAAGAACGGGCCTAAAGCATGTGCACTGCGTACAGAATATGCTAATAACGTATACACAAACATTTCATTAATCTTATTTTAAGGTTTAATTACTAATAAAAAATTATATTATGAAATGCCGCCTCCACCCTATCTATTGTGATTCTTAGAAGACTGTACACACTTTCTACCATATGCATACTTAACTAGTCACCAGGTTTAGTGTTGCTGCGTCTTGCATTATAAGTTTATCTTTGCGATCCACTACAGATTTTAAAACTATACTGCGCCATCTGTGGCTGTTCCCGGAAAAAGAAAGCATAATTTGATTTTTTTTTCTAAGGCTAGTACGTCAGCCAACGAAACGGTCAGTCAGCAAAAACACTCATATCTGGCTACATAATATATCAACATAGTGCTGACTAGTCTACTATGACAAATGCAAACGACGTTGTCCCTTGATGTCGGGGCATCAATAAGTCTGATTTCACAATAATTAGTTCAAGCTCTGGCCTAATTCATTAACAATAATAGTGGTTTCATGCTGATTCTGTGAAGCAAACAAACAATTTTATGAAATTATTACTAAGTGTAGAGATAATAATACTTATCTACCTAGTTACTTGCGTCCTACTTGCCATTCGCAAAGGACGCCGGAACCAGCGAAGTGATTGGATCATATCATATGAAAGGCAGTTTAAAATAAATAAACATCATGCCTTTTAAAATATGGCCCCTAAATATAAATAATTTACGACAGTCGTAAATCAGTATGGATATTCGTTTATGATACCGAGCTTCTTAAATGACATGAGTATCCATAGCAACTAGGTATAAATTAGGCCTCGCAGAATGTGGGCATATGGTAATTAATATTAGTATTTTGTTATTCGTGTTATCAAGGTATCGTCCGTATCGTCATGTGACACGGGAAATATTTTGACTGTGTCATAAATTCATAAATAAATTCATAAATATCTCATAGAGAGCCAGATAACATTTAAGGTCAATTAAAGTAGTTGCATCTAACACACGAAGCTCAAAACGTCTCTAACTTCAAACAATGGTTTATTTCATGACGTTTCGGGGAGATGTAAAACCCCTTTTAATCAAACAACAAACTAAATTATATATAAAACAAATATCAGGGTTGTTGTACAATATAGGACACAATGCATATATATATACTCTAGGTGTGTAGAAAAAGCAAATAAATAAAGAACTTTCTAGCCAAAGTAATACTCAGAAAATTACCTGTTACTAGTGTGTACAAAGGATGTCAGTAAAGTGAAACGGAATAATAATTTGTTTTGCTGTTTAATGTAGTTGTGTGTCAATGAATATGCTACTTTTTTTGTAAATAGCTTGCTCCTGAATGTAGTTTATTTCTTTCTCTCCTAATCATTCACCACACGGGGCCCAATAAACCAATAATAGTAATATTTATTAAGACACAGACAAGGAATACACCAGTTAGTGGAGGCAAAGTCAAAGAAATCCCAAGTCTTTAAGGGAAAATTAGAAATAGCCTGACAATATGTTTTTGCTAAGAAGGGGATTCTGACATATTTTTTCTGTCAATAAACCATGGGTATTACCAAGTGACCTTCGTTGCTACATGTAGATATGATACCAGTCTATCATAACTCACGTGACCTTCTAGATAACATTCCGTGTATGTTTAACATTTGAACAATGGTTTGTTAGTTGACTTCAAATTGACCTCAGAGATATTTAGGAAAAAAAAGGTTCTAACCTGCCGTCCATGAAAGCAATGAATAGCCACACTAGAGCTGCCACCATAGCTTGAATGATCGTATTTATAAGAGCGTAAAGGCTTTTTACACATGTATCACATGACACACACAATGCCACAGTACCACCTGGTGTACGACATCGTCCGCTCACTATCCGCCAGGTTGTGCTGGAGATAGTCACTCCTAAGAACGAATATTATTATTCATTTGAAATTTGAAACAAAAATCATATTACTGAATTTCATTTGTAGAAACCATGTCAACTGCTGTCAACGTCACGTACATAAACACAATTTCATTAATACTGACAAAATTACGAAATATTTTTTCTCTACGCTGCGCGTCGGTCGATACTCCCGCTGTACTCTCTGAGTCCATACTTTGAGGTATCATCGTAATAAACTTATTATTAAACATCTTTTCCTTCCAAGGATACATCATGGGAATGCCAAAATACAAAAAGTTTAGAACAGAATCAGCGCACTTCGACGTTTTTCGCAATAAAATTTAAAACTTCATACAAGGCTTAGAGATCAATTAGTTAGCATACGCAAATAACCTCTTAAGTATTTACATTTTTAAAGGGAGGTGGTCGTCGCGCGTGTTCGAATTTCATGTAAACAAAACATGTATTTAACACGCGTTGTATACGTCGCTATGACCACCGCCCTATGTGTTTGCTAAAGCCATAAAATAGTCTACGCTTAAAAGCATTGTTCGTAGTGGCCTACATTTCCTGAGGGTCAGTGTTATTTAACCAATTGAATATTACACAGCTATGGTATTGATTTAAAAAGAAAACACAATTACTGCTCCAAAAAACTCCCCATTCTGCTGCGTTTCAAAATCAATAATCTTAATAAAAACATTTAATACTAACCAAATATAAACATGATTATTGCTGGGCCAATAATAAACATCCAGGAGTAGAAACAGCGATCGGTTTGCTCACATGGACATTTGAAGACAGCAATCTCAAAAACAATTTCACCGGCGATTATGCTAAGCATAATAGCAACGTTTTGTAACGTCGTCTGATGGTATTTTAGCACGTGTGACATATGGTTGAGAAGTCGTGTAACGTCCATGGTACTGTTTGATAGTTTGAATTCTTCAATGTGAAAACTAGTATTGAGTTATAACACTCAGGGTAATAAATATAATGTTTATTGCATTGATGACGCGATGATTCATCTAAGTCAGTACTTAAAATGCGCTGTTGTTTTGTGTGGTGTTTGGAACACCAACCAACCAGATCCACGCACCAACCATTCCCACCCACACAGTAAGAAAGAACACAATTGTGTGAAGATACAGACATATACAACTTTTAATATGAAGTGGTGTTGTATGTCAAAATATGTACTATACAATAGCAAGAATAAATTACATTGGACGGCGTTGCGTTCACAATTTTTGTAATTAAAAAACAGTATAACGAACTTATTTAATATTACATAATATTATGTAAGTGTATGTAATAATAAGATTTGTCACTGTAATAACTATCGGCATTTTCACGGCAAATTACGCATTTGAAAACGGGGAACATTCGAACTCTCCAAAACAAGACCACAACAACATTAAATATTAATTTCACTTCTGTTCTAGATTCAAAGCTATCTCTAAACTTGGTTTGGGGAATGTCACGGAATGCGAGTCTGCTTACAATGGCCAGAATCATTTTGCGTGGTCGTGATTTCCAATATGGATGGTTGCAAATTTATATTTCTATATAAATGTGATGTGTCTGTGATTAGGGTTCTTCTCAAGCACTTTGAGGATTGTAAGAACTGTTTTTTGGCAGTTCTGGATTTAAGCTAAATCGGAAGTGAACATTTTGGGCATCGACCTGAGGGTATCTGAGGGTATCGACCTTCTGATTGTTCGTAGTCGTATTTTCGATATATGTGCTTCCTGTTTCACGTTAGCAAGTGGTCACATGATTTGAAAATTTTCTTCAGAACCACTGAACACATTGATCTCAAATGGGTTTCTTAGCATATATACAGGGCGATGGTCGTCGCACCGCGTCCTGTTCGACGCATAGCAATGTATGCAACGTTTGTAAAATACAATGTTTGCGAAGCTTGATGGGATTTGGCTGTCATCTTTGATTTCTGCAAAACAGGAAGTATTTTTTACAGGCGCTACAGGCATAATTATACCTCGGACGGCAAACAAACAAATCGGGTCAGTCACATAATCAGGCCGCCATTTTGGATTGAATGAGATTTTTTTTCATGAGTGCTTCAACCGATCATGAGTGTATGTCCAAGGCGTTTTCTGCGAAAAATATCAGTAGGTGCCTCCAAACGTGGAATTATAATTTCATTTTATCGGTGTTAGTTTATTCAACAGGATCCCTTTTTTAAAAGTTCCAGATGTGAATTTATTTATTCATTTATTGGTTTGTCCGTTTGCCTCTTGTTTGTTGTTAGTTGTTACTATTTCATTCATTAGGTTGACACATTAGGAACGACTCTCATCTCAAAAGTCTCCTCTTTATTCTCTGTGGTATCCATTGTTGAATTGCCATAACCTAAATTAAATTGCGCCGGTTCTTCTTGATTTTCCGTATTATTGTTCTCTTGCTCGTCGATAGCCCATTCATGTAGGGGCGTATATCCATAATCAGCTGCATATTCTGAACCAACAAATGATATTTTGGACCACGCGTTCTGCACCTGGCCCCATGACCTTGCATCGTTACATTTCAGTTTCTCTTGGCCGAAAAATTTATCGAGAGTTTTCTGTATATTCACCCTAGCAATTTCCTAAGAGAAGAAATAGTTCGTAATATAGATAGTGTCAACAATGAATATCAAACAAGTTAATATGATAGTTTCAATAAATTAAACTAAACAAATATATAATCTTAAGCTATGTATTTTGAACATTTGTAAAATCGGTTTACAAATCACAAAACCACATTTTATTATACCGCATGACCATGACAGCCAATCAGATTACCGTATTAGAGGTTAACTTTTTTGTATGTCTACCTCTTGCCAAAATTGTATGTCAACCTCCATCCGGGTACCTTTCTCCTCAATTTATTGACGCCGGTAACTTGTCAGGGGAACACGATACGCGGCAATATTCGTGAACTGATTGGTTTGCCTGGTTTACGTTCACTATTTGACTAATTTATTGGAGAGATAAACTAGGATTTTTAGTCAAGCTTGTCGTGTGTTCGCCAGCGCGCTCAGCTACGCGCTTTGAGACATTCGATCTGCGATTCAAGCAGTTTGCAGCTCCGTGTGCAGCTCGTTTCAGTGTTCTACATGTAATGCGAACTGGAACCCAATATAGCGCATAGCTGCGCACAGGATGGCGCCGGATGTTGTTCAAAAAATCTATTCTTCGTCAGGCTGAAGCTGTTGAAATTAAGTTTATCAAAACAACCATGAAAGTGAAAAGGCGTCTATGATAAAACTCACTGCTCTTGAACTCTTTCAATTTGCATAATTTGTGTTCATACATGCATTCAGATCTACAAGCGTAAACTTAAGTTTGCCATGATTCAGTGCCACAATTTCTGTTTTAAGATTTATTCTGTATAATAATACAAATGTACTCGTCTCGCTTGGCTGATGTCACTTAGCCGACGAGGTACCAGATTCGACCCAAATGAATACACATTGGTTCCTTAGGGTAGTCCAGCTTTAATACCCCAAGCAGTCAGCTGATGTAACCCCTCGCTGCACCGTTCTCTCGTTCTCCTCCTCTTACAAAGGTTACAAACTCGCTATATTAAAAGTCAAAACACTAAGGCGCGGCAGAGTAAACATGCGATTGGCCAATCGCTGCAGTCGTTGGCACAATCACGTGATTACCAGGAATGTGTCTCACGGTTAAAGCCTTGCAAAGTTGGCACTACTAAATACAATAAGTAAACAATCTATTTATAAAATTCCTGTCGTATATTTTTATAATCTCCACCCTAAACATGCAAGTTGTTGATTCTAAACTATAGTCTAACGTCTTGTGAACCGAATATGCGATCGTGAAATAGCTATCGTAACAATATATTACCTTTGATTTCTTGACAAACTCTTCTTTTTCTATGTCATTGTAAATATTAGCATATCGTTTATGTTCGAATGTGAACGTCGAACACATCCTCCAAATAAACATCAAAATAAGAATTAAACCACTGGTGACTGACAGCATGGCCAATCCAATGGTCTGTGACATTGCCCTGTCGTTGTCGTTCAACACCGGAGTTGTTTCATTGTTTTTGCATTCTATAGTTGATATTCCACACGCAAAGTAACTGAGGATTAAAAATACACACACAAATATAAAACAATTCAGATCGTATTGTTATTCCATTACAATAAACTAATATATTAAATAAATAGTTTATTACCTGCCGTTCATTAATGCAATGAATATCCATACTAATGCAGCTACAGTGGCTTGTGCAGTGACTTGGACTAGACCGCAACATCCTCCGTAGCAAGTATAACGTGGTCTGCAAAAATCCAGAATCCCTCCTGGTGCACGGCAACATCCAGAAACAAGTTTCCATGTTTTATTTGAGATAGCTACCCCTATAATCAAGTTAGTTTTATTTGACGTCACTATTGTTTAAATATTCATAATAATTGTTTATAAACATATGATCAAGAGCGTATCTAAAGAAATTTATTTCGATATTAATTACAACGAAAAACTTTCCTGACGATTTCCATAATTAGATATATAGCTGTACGACACTTCGATGAATACAAACTATCACGTGACCTTGGAATAGTTTTGTTGCTACAGTTGAGCGCTTTTTGTTGTTATAAACTGTTGGTAATAATTAACGCACATTTATGCGGGCAGTGTACACTGACCATCAACTCAATATCCATGGTATTTTTGTCCAATGAACAAATGAGTTGACTACTTACCTATGGTAAACAATGAAACAGATGGCCCAATTATAAACATCCATGAGTAAAAACGCCGATATATTTGAATACATGGACAGCGAAATATAGCTATCTCAAAAACCGCCTCACCGCCAAATATTGCCAGTATCATCGCGATATTTTGTAAACTCGTTTGGTTTTCTTTAACCAACGTGGCTAGTCGATCCAGAATCCCTTTCATAGCCATTGCGATGTTGTAAAATACTGATTCTTTTAAACGATATTTCTGCGTCACAAGAGGCGTGTATCAATCGGGTCATTGTGTGTTGTAAATCAAAAGTAGTATATGGAGATTGATTGTGCATATATCCATTGCAGTCAACAAAAAACAATGACATACGGATTACCGAATTAAAAATAAATGCACTATTGTCACTCTAAATGTGACACAAAGCCGATTGCAAAGTAAAACAGTTCGGAAATAACAATTGTTTGCAGAGGCAATTGTTTTCAATTGCACCAGTTTACACTGAAAGTCTACGTGAGAGCTATGGTATGGCTATTAATAGTGTTGTAATACTAGCCTCTTAATATCACGTCTTGGGAGTAACTGGATAATATCCACTCACCCAGCTGAATGCAAAAGCTATAGTGTGCTAATTATTGTAATACTGGCCTCTTAATATCACGTCTTGGGAGTAACTGGATAATATCCACTCACCCAGCTGAATGCAAAAGCTATAGTATACTAATTATTGTAACACTGGTCTCTTAATATCACGTCTTGGGAGTAACTGGATAATATCCACTCACCCAACAGAATGCAAAAGCTATAGTATGTTAATTTTCGTAATATTGGCCTCTTAATATCACGTCTTGGGAGTAACTGGTTAATATCCACGAACCCAACTGAATGCAAACGCTATAGTATGCCAATTTTTGTAATACTGGCCACTTAATATCTCGTCTTGGGAAACTGGATAATATCCACTCACCCAACTGAATACAAAAGCTATAGTATGCTAATTATTGTAATACTGCTCTCTTAATATCACGTCTTGGGAGTAACTGAATAATATCCACGCACCCAACTGAATGCAAAAGCTATAGTATGCCAATTATTGTAATACTAGCCTCTTAATATCACGTCTTGGGAGTAACTTGATAATATCCACTCATCCAACTGAATGCAAAAGCTATAGTATGCCAATTATTGTAATACTGGCCTCTTAATATCACGTCTTGGGAGTAACTGGATAATATCCACGAACCCAACTGAATGCAAACGCTATAGTATGCAAATTTCTGTAATACTGGCCTCTTAATATCACGTCTTGGGAGTAACTGGATAATATCCACTCACCCAACAGAATGCAAAAGCTATAGTATGCTAATTATTGTAATACTGCTCTCTTAATATCACGAGTAACTGGATAATATCCACGCACCCAACTGAATGCAAAATCTATAGTATGCTAATTATTGTAATATTGGCCTCTTAATATCACGTCTTAGGAGTAACTGGATAATATCCACTCACCCAACTGAATGCAAACGCTATAGTATGCTAATTATTGTAATACTGCTC